CGCACTTTTATATATATGTATGTGTGTGAGAAATATCCATCCGCAATATGGCCCACGATTGCTCTCCGCGAGTTATGATATCGATTTTGCCTTTAGCTTAACGTGTGGTCAGGTTGAAAGCTAGAACATATACAGGGCGTCCTGTGAGAGAATCACTTTCGAAAATCGTGAGACATGAGAAAAGAGATAATAAAATTCTGCCAATTTTTACCATACATGCAGTGTATTATTATATTTTTCAAATATAATATTATGTGTAATAAAATATTAAAATGAATTTTTTATTCATAAACGTTTCCAATTAATCAATTTTTAATTTAAGACGTAAAAAAATTCTCCTACGTGAATTTAATTTTGCAAAATGTTTGGTTCATTTTTTATAACATATACATATTACAGCATTTTTTCTTGGAAATAATTTCTCGCAATTTATAATTTCTTCACTTTACTATATGTTATAAAAAATAATTTTATTAAATGCTGTCGCATTTATTATGTCATTTATATATTTTTTTAAAGCTGTTTGAAAATTAAAATAAAAAACTGCAAAAATGAGATAATTTTTTTCCATCTTAATTAATACCGTTGGTTGGTCGCAATAATTATATACCCCTTTGGATTATATATGCTACGTATTTTCTACACCTTGTACAAATTTCAAATTTTTTTATTCTAATTATACGCCTGTGGATTATATGCTACATTTTTTTACACTTTGTACAAATTTCAAATTTTTTTATTCCATACAGAGTTTACATACAGAGTGCAACAAACATTTATTGTGCGAGGTCTACCTATCCGCAAAATATGAATATATATATATATATATACATATATACACTGTAAAAAAATTTTGTAAAATTACATAAAAAATATGTAAAATTACATAAATAATAAATGTAATTTTACATACTTTTGTGTAATATATTACATATTTTTTTACATTGTATATATATGCCCTCGACCGAGTTTTTCTTTCTTGTGTATCTCGCGCAAGCTTGGAGATTACTAAATCAAAACTCTCCTTTATGCCACGGGTAGTTTCTCATTCTGTCGAGCAAACGCGGGAGCGAAAACGGTGGGAATTCAAAGGCAAGCCCGCCACAAAAGGCACTATCTCTCCCGAGAGGGAGAGTATCGCGTATAGGGTTAAACGGCGTAACGAGTCCGATCGTATGGCGCAAGACGCCACGGGTAGACGTTCGCAGGTCGCCTAGCCACATAGCCGGGGATTCGAATTTAATCCGGATTAGTTCGTAAGGGTCACAATATCCCTCTCTCTCTCTCACTCCCTTCCTCAGCGACCTCGCTTCTCTCTCGGAGGCTGCACCTTCTCGTCTCTCTTCTCCAACCCCTTCGGTCCGTAACACACGGATACGCGAATATAGACGTCCAGGTAAATCCGGACGGAACACACGCGGACGATTATCCTAATTCCGAGCTGACGCTTACGGCTCGCGGACTAAAAGGAGACAAACGATCTCATCTCTCTCTCTCTCTCTCTCTCTTTCTTTCTTTCTTTCCTTCCAGTTCACCTTTGAAACGTGCCGACGCAAAATCACTTTTTGACAAAAGATACAGACTCATCTTCCAATTTCTTGCTTACAGTTACTTTCATCAATCAAGTTAAGATCCGAAATTGATAAATATTTAATTATCGAAAATTGTAAAATTATTATAAGAAAGTAAATATAATTAGGTATAATAAATATAATAAATAATACAAAATATAATATAATTATATTTTAAATTATAATAATATTATAATTTAAATTTTTTTAATACCGATTTAATATTGCGTTGTGTGCTTTTATTTGGGCACAACAATGTGTGTATTTTGTTTTCCCTCTACGATATAAATTTTATTCCTCCGTATTATCGTCCGAGTTAGGAATAAGTGGATCGCGCTTTTCGTAGGATTTAAAAAAAAAATCGTAGTCGACGAGGAAGGCGGAGATAAGAACCGGAAAAGGATCCGCGTGCACGAAGAGAGAGGGAAAGGATTAACTATGACGCACGGAGATTTAAGGGGGATCCTCGAAATCCGTAGATTTAGGAAGTGCGTGCTTCTGTCCACCCGCATCCCCCATTCGCGTCGCGCCCACCCTTTTCTCCTCGCGTAGGTCGGGGCTGGAAAAGCAAATATGTACTCTCGGCTCCCTACATTCCTGCATGCCCTGGTATCGTCACGATCAACAGTGAACCGTCTCTTAAGAATTCTTAAACCGATTTCTTCGAAAGTTAGTCTGAGAAAAGAATTCACGAGGGAGACGCAGTTTAGCAATTTAGCTCAAAACTCTCTCATGATTTTTTTTTCGTGGCGATATATATTGTGAAGAAGACATTGTAATAGATAGCAAGGCTAGAAAAATATATGATTTAATCTTACAATATAAATGACAGATTAGGCACGAGCACAATTGATCGTCCCTTCAATTATATAATCGTAGACTTTCTATACGTTGACTCTTTCCACTTTGTAAAAACCTGGTATGTTTCTTATGGGGAATACATATGTAGAAATAAAATATTACCTATACTATCCGATACTCCACAAATCTCAGTAAATTTATTTTCCAGAAAAAGAACATATATATATTATCGATCGCTAAAAAATAATTGCAAAATAGCAAATATATATTTTTCGATGCATTGAAATAATTTTCAAACGAAGAAGAGAGATATAATCCTGGTTCGCATTCGAAGAAATATAATTAATAAGTCGTTATCGGCTTGTTTGCCTATACATCGGCTGTTTCATTCAGCGATAAATGTTTCGTAATAAATTCGCCATATATAGGCGTGTTTTATTCTCTCACGGTCGTTGCTTTTTACGAATTTTACATGAAAGCTAAACGTCGCGTTTCCGCTTATATGGCGTTTAATTATAACTACAAACGAACGCGTGCAAATTGTTTCCACCGCATTATCGAGGATCAAGGAAATTCCGCCGATAGTCTATCTCGTTTACGAGCTTTAACGACCCCTCCATCGAGTATATACGTCTTCGTCATTCTCGGCGGAAGTGGGCTTTACGGCGACATGGCAACTAAATTGATTGTCGTGAATAAAATAGTAGAATTTTGAACAAACAGATCTCACTATTATTAATCTCATATTCTTGAAAAGTAAAATCTATTAGTCGATAAATAGCAATTTACATCCTAATATTACATACAATATTTTCCATTACACGATACTTTTAATGTATTTATAATAAAATTAATAATAAAATATGTCAATTATGTATGATCTTAACATTTAAAAAAATATATTATTTAATTAAATAAATAAAACGAAAAAAAAATTTTTTTTTAGAAATTACGAGAGCAAAGCTAACCGCGAATAAAAATGAAATATATATATATATGATATTTATTACGCAAAACTATATATAATAAAATTAATGATAAAATATGTCAATTATGTATGATTTAACATTAAAAAATATATTATTTAATTAAATAAAGAAAACGAAAAAAAAATTTTTTTTTTAGAAATTACGAGAGCAAAGCTAACCGCGAATAAAATGAAATATATATATATATGATTCTTTTATTTATTACGCAAAACTATATATAATAAAATTAATGATAAAATATGTCAATTATGTATGATTTTAACATTAAAAAAATATATTATTTAATTAAATAAAGAAAACGAAGAAAAAAATTTTTTTTTAGAAATTACGAGAGCAAAGCTAACCGCGAATAAAAATGAAATATATATATATGATTCTTTTATTTATTACGCAAAACTATATATAATAAAATTAATGATAAAATATGTCAATTATGTATGATTTTAACATTAAAAAAATATATTATTTAATTAAATAAAGAAAACGAAGAAAAATTTTTTTTTTAGAAATTACGAGAGCAAAGCTAACCGCGAATAAAAATGAAATATATATATATGATTCTTTTATTTATTACGCAAAACTATATATAAAACTAATAATAAAATATGTCAATTATGTATGTGATTTTAACATTAAAAAAATATATTATTTAATTAAATAAAGAAAACGAAGAAAAATTTTTTTTTAGAAATTACGAGAGCAAAGCTAACCGCGAATAAAAATGAAATATATATATGTGATTTTTTTATTTATTACGCAAAGCTATATATCGAGCTTCGTCAGACGCGAGATGGTGACGACGATTAACGTCCCTTCCGTTCGGCAGAGTGCATTAATGGACGTGACATCGGTGCATCGTTACCGCATTTTCCTCGCCATCGTCACCCCGAGCAAATCCCGACCGTGTTGTAAAGACGTTAAAGCTGTTTTCACACGACCCCCATCTCTCGTAAAAGGTAACTTAATTCGCCCGGCGAATCGACGATTTACGGCCGCGGGAACCCCGGGCAAGCCGTCAAACCCGGGATGCAGCCCGAGGTAATGTAGTGTACACAGATGCATTCGGGACTGGACGATGAAGAAATACGAAGCCAACACATTTGATTGTACGAAGTATAAGAGTCGACTTAAATTTCGTACGGTTGCAATTTTTTCTTTGCATTATTTATAGATATTTTTTAAAATTATATGAGGCGTAAAAGTGCAAAAAGGATCCAATCCGCGTTTTTTAATAAATTCAGTTAACCACATCTCAAAGTTCCTTCCATCTAGCAATGGAAAAATCTAAGCTGTGGTCTAATCCACTTATTTGAAATCTCTGCGCTAAATTATAAAGTTAAGCGAAAATAAATAGTACACGATGCTATATATAAGTGTTACCAATTTTTTAAACTTCTAAATACCTTATAATTTAAAAGATGGGGTTAAACCCTATTTAATACCTTGTATATACATAATATATTATCCATTGAATAATATAAATCTTCAACAAATTTCGCAAAATCCTTAAATTTTATCGAAATAAAATATCAATAATATCATTGCGTTTCTTGCATATCTAATTGCATTTTCAGTCGATAATCGATAGATATTAATTGGTATATACTACGCGAGACAATAAAGTCGAATGGAAACTTACCTGTGCTGGAGGCGGATTTGCTGAGATCGAAACCCTCCTGCTTGGGACTAGCGCTGATTTCTTGCTTCGGATGCTGATTGTGCGCAGAGAAGGGGGTCTGGGGTGCACTGAGAGGTGTCTGCGATTGCAGCGGATGCACCGACGGGGGTTGGGGTGTGTTCTGCGGCTGCGACTGCTGAGACTGATGAGACTGAGGGCTCCTCGGTAACGAGGACACACTGCTCGGTCTCGATGGCGGCGAGGCCTTGTGTGTCAATGCCAACGCTTGGCTCTGCAAACCGCGGTAAAAAAGCGTCAATTAACACTTTCGTCTCGGATAATAGCTATATGATTTCGGTGCGACCGTTCTGAATCATTATCGTATCTATTATTAATGCGCAATTATGCTTATCCTAAGGTTATCATCGCGCATAAAAAAAAAAAAAAAGGAAAAATAGAGAGAGAATTGATTCCGTCCATTTCTATTATTAAATGGAGATGAGAAAGTAATATAGAGTAATTCGATAAGCTTTACGGTGTACATGATAAGAACATCTTTTTATATACTGCGAGAACGCGACGCGTAAAAAAATTTAATATCGGAAAGCATGATTTGCGCATTTTTACGCTTATTACTCGAGTAACAAGTTCTCTCCCGGGCTTTTTTACATTGTCTTCAGTGTAAAGTTGCAGAGCAATATTTTCTACGCACGTTATGTAAATTATTTTGATGTCTACTTTATCCCCGTCGTTTATGTATAATCTTGATGAGAGCATGGTAATCGCCGGGGGTAATAAATCCTTCGTTGCTCTTAATCTCTAAAGACAAAATTTCCTGCTACGCACATATCCGCATATGCCATATACTTCTAACAGCTGCATAATTTTTTTCATACGATTATCATAAAAATTTTTACAGGGAAATTCCAGTTTAAAATCGCCAGGAGATTTTCATAATGGTCAACGTGTGTTCCCGGAAAACCGCACGCGCAATAATAAGCAACCTTGACATTTCCATGGAAAAATGGTACACGTATATAATATAAAACGGTAGTGTCTCTCGTCGTGCAATTTATTTCTCAAAATCAGCTCGTGTACGAATTAACTATGCGCGATTGGAGGCAATGCGGCGATTAAAAAAGCCTTCGCCGGCAATTTACTGTACGGGAGTGTCGACGTCGTCGCCTAAACGCGGTCGAATCTACGACGTTTCGGTTTCGCGACTTCTCTCTCCCGAGAAGAGAGGCGCGCCGGGATGATCTAAGCGTATTCTGTCGCCGATCAAATCTGAGCACGTGCTCAATTCAGCGCGGCAAAAAGCCAGGCTAAGGCATAAGCGCGCGGGCTTAGATTTATGTATGAGTGAACTGAACTTAACACTAACGGCTAAGCCGTCCACGGTGTCAACTGGGGTCAACTGGACCCAGAATGCGACAATCCTACACCATCACCATCATCAGCAACCACCGTTTAGCTGCCGATGTGCGAAATACACCGCCGCTGTCAGAGATGGTTTTCGCGTTGTTCGTATAAAACTGGATGACGCTTCCGTGGAATACGAGTGTAAGAAAAGAGAGAAAGAGAGAGATGATGATGGCGTTTAACCCTCCGTGATCCCTCGCGACTTCCGGCCGCGTTTCGTGTTTGCTCGCAATCAGCGATTTTCGCGGCTGTTTAATCTCGGTCATTTAATTACGAAATTATAGAATTTAATCGGCTGTTATATACCGTGACGCGGCGACCTTGAATAATTGACGATGACGAGAATTGCTCATTTTTCCTAAGTAAGATGAAGCTATGAGCTCGCGGAGTGTTTCTTCGCCATTTTTATTCATACAAATTAATTCCTTCGAGGTATACGTTTCAATTAAATTATAGTTTCTTGACTTTATCTCGAAATCAAAATCAGACAAGTTGCTTGCACGTTTTGACTTACGGAAAACGTTAAACCAAAAATACGAGATCATTGAGTCGAAACCGAAAGAAGACGAAATATTCGATTTCTTCGCGTTATCCCTCTCGCGATACATCGTTTCAACATCGTTTCGATCTAACGATCGACCGACGATTTTTTCACTTGCCCGGACTGTACCAGCTACTGTTTCGGGAGCTGCTTCGAGGTATGCACTCGCAAAAAACACGTCAGACCGCTGAAGACCCGGGCCTGGAAATACGGGAGTAAGCGAGAAGATGATGAAGAAGAGGAAGAAAGGGCGGGAAAGGGAGCGAGTGGCGAAGAAGCGAGATGCCTAAAGGTGCCGAGAGGTAAACTAGAAAGAGAGAGAGAGAGAGAAAGGCGGGTCGACTGACGAAAGAGAGACAAGCGGGCCCGGAGGGTCCATACGTGAATCGAAAGAGGACGAAACGATGGGGCCTCCTCAGCTCTCGCTCTCTGTCTCGTTCGTCGAGGAATGAAGACGAACGAAGCGAGATCGAAACGCGAGAGCGTGTAAGAAGGGGCAACAGGTGGATGGGGTTAGCGGCTTATCCGGCTAACGCCCCAAGTGATATCGCGGTAACTCTGTGCTGTGTGACGCGCAAAGGGTTACGACGGGCTGCTGTCGTAAAATCAGGAATTTCGGTTCGCTCATCGATCCGGCTCTCGCCGCGGTCCAAGATTCGCTTGGCCTGACGTCGAATCGGGGAATCGCGAAGGTTTATAGGTCCAGAAGAGAGTTTCTCTCCTGCCCGAAATATTTCGCTCGAGAGCCGATTCAAATTATTTCCTTTCTCGATGAATTTCTTTTGTGCTAATATATTGTTAACACAATTGCGACAATTCCTAAATATTTAGTGCCACATTTTTCGAATGAAATAATTTTAAGGATGAATAAAACTAAAATAGGAAGACAATTATATTAAATGCATGCGATATCAAGTGGTTATATTTTACTCACAATTAAATTTTATCATATTTAAATATTGATAGGATGGTAATTTTTAAAATTGAGAAAAATAAGATGCATTGTAATAATATAAAAATAAATAAATAAAAAACTTTCATAAAAAAATTCAATATCTATTCAAATACTCAACATTTACTCGCCAATGCGTCGTCAATAAAAGACGGCGAATTCTTCGAGGACTGGTTTCGAATTTGAACGAGCTAGTATATGAATTCGCGCGGATCGCGGCGACAATAAAAATGAAATGTTAAATAATTAACCGCGATATCTCGTCGCGAGCGACGACGATTCGGCGGGCGTTTATCGGCGGATCAGCTTATCTACCGGGTGTAACGGAGATACGCGCAAGCGACGGCGTATTTCCTGTTGGTGTGTTTCCCGTTAAGGCGATAACCTTAATCGCTGACCGAGCACAGAATCCTCGTAGATCTGGAGGACCGCGGGGGAGAGACGGAAGTTTGACGGGATTCCAGAATTTAACTTGCGACGGTATATATGAAATATATATGAAATATAAACGTATACGGATCGGCGCGTCAACGAGCTTACGTAAGATCGAATCGCGACCGACGGTCCTTAACGTTTGGCCAATTGAACGGATGGTCTTTTTTCGGCATACGTGTTACGTCAGCTCCGTCGCGTATAGTTAATTCCACCCGTTATAAAAAAGAGAAAAAAAATACAGAAGCAATCCGCGCGACACACTCTCTCTCGCCTCTCTTTGTTCCGAGGCTCCTCTTTTCTTCCTCGCCTCATCGTGACGACGTTCGATGCGCGTAAATTATACCGAGAGCTCTCGTCTCGCTCGCATCTTGATTAATTCTTCGAATGCCGCGTTAATAAGTCGCGAACGCTCGCGTCGCGTCATGAAAAATCGCGCCGCGATTCGCGCCGTTCGGCGATTCTGAAGATGCGAGATTCGTTCATTTTAACCGCATTTTTTCAACAGCAATCAATCATAAATAATTGGATGATATAAACTTTGATAGCTGTCGATTCCAAATTTTTCTGAAACTCTGTAATTGGTCTCTAGTGTATTTTAATCAAATTTAAATCATTCAAGTTTTTTCACAATCTTGAAATTAGACGAGGGTTTGTTTTATTTGCTCCGACAGATTTTTTGGTAGATATATTTTTCAACGATTTATTAAAAATCTCGTTATTAACTGCACATTGATGATTTGATAGTTGGCCGGATATATTTGTGGAGTTAAAATTTTTGTACAATTTTGAAAATAAAGTATCGGGGGTGCTATTCTCTAAATTCGATATAAAGCTTTACAAATAATTAGTAAATCGTTTTATAATTGTTAAAAAGCCACAATTATGAAGACGAGATTTCTGATATAGTTTCATGACACGCTGGAAAATACTCGATTCCTAATCTTCATCGGTATAATATAATATACAATATCACGTATTATTAATAATTCGTAAATCTCTCTCTGTATCTCTTCTAATTAACAAAATTTCACGCAATCCATTATCTGTTTCACCGCGATAATTTTGCTATCTTTCGACAGCGATTGTATAAAACAGAATTAAATGTTGCGCGACCCACATTAATCTGCAATATTCTAATCATACTTATCAAAATATCAGACCGAATGATATCCCCAGGCGATAATTGGTTCCCTCTTCGCAACAGATAATCCGCGGATTGATGCGTTTGCGATCGTGTTACGTAAATCGTTGCCGACCGCGATGTCAGACACCTCGTTTCCTAAGTGCAAAACATGGTATGGCTAAAGATTAGAAAGCAGCAGAGATACAATCTCGTATCAGAGCTATGAGCATTGATTTCGAGGATTAACCGGAGAAAGCAAGGAGGATACGAGTATCATTCCAAAATTACAGTTACATTTCGGGCGACGTGCGCAAATGATTCATTAATATTAATTATATGCAAAAAAATAATTTAAAACTGCATTTCAAGTTTGCGCGATTGGGGAGATATTCTTACTCATATTAATATATTTAAAAACAGAAATAATAATAGCCCTTCTACAAGGATTCAAGATAAATGCATCGCAAATAATTCCTGAGAAAGTCTGTTTTTAGGAAAATATTTATATCATTTACATTTTGATTTCGAAGGAGAAAAGTGATTATTGCATTTATCTTGATTTAAAGCATAATTATATTACGTTATAAGAATGAGACCGTATCATTTTTATGTGCAATAAAGTTTCGCTGGTCGCGATCCCCTTTTAACGTCGTAATTAATATTTTTTCTCGCGTAAAATATTCGTCGAGAAAACGCAAAAAAGATCGTGACTGCGGCATAAAAAGGCAATATAAAAAGGCCTGTACGGAGAGAGGCAAGTATACACTCTACCTGCGTTTGATATATCGGCTTCAGTGGCCGGATAGATGGATTACAATCATTCCGGCAGCTGGGGTGGTCAAATACCGTGACCATGCGTGCTTCAAACGTATCCTCGCGCACGCACACGTATACGCGACGCACTTTGGAGTACACACGTGGCGCCCGTGCGTGCAACGCGGTGCAAGGACGTGTTTCCATATATACCTATACTGTATATCGGAATATACAAGAGCGAGAGATGCGTGCGCGGCGTGAAAATTTTAGATCGTAAAATCTCATGACGTTTCTTTTTTTATTTATTCAATTTCTTTCTTCATCAACTTGCACGATTTAAGATCTATCGTGCGTTTGTTAAATCGTCACATTCTTTCCGCGCGTTATCGTGAGAGATCCAGGTAGAACGATGGCGCGACCTTAATTTATACTCCGAAATGCCACACCCATATATCTTTTCGATTTTACTATACGATTACTACTACGCTATAGGGTCTCCAGTTCTGGTGCCATTGTTACGGCCGTAATTATTCACGCATATTAGTTTGTTTCTTCGACGACATAATTTAAATGACCAGTAGTAGAGATTATGAAGTCGAATTTTTTTTTTCTCTACATCCTGTAATTTTAACAGAGTATTGTTCTCAAGTTTTACGGGAGTAAATAGTAAATCACAGAGACGAGTCTTCGTATGTTAATACCATGACCAAGCAAAGCCTCACGTATCTCGAAATAACAGCATTACGGGATTATCTTTGGTCTCTCTGACTTCTTTTCTTAAGTACGCCTATGGACAACGCATTTCTCGGAAATACTTTCATACACTTATACAAGTTCTCTCCCCTTTTTTAAATGTACTCCTTTATAAGATAGTTCACGCGCGTGACGAAGTATGAATAAAATAAAAACAATCCACGTGCGCGCATCAAATATCTATCTTAAGTGACATAATGTCCTAATATTAGCATTTTTAGACATCTTACAATCTATAATCAATTATTTTTATTTTTATTTTTTTACAATAATCGCAAGGTGCGAATTAATAGCGAAATATTCCTCATTCACCGATCTGTGTTAATTTAACTACGTGACTTATTTAAATGTGAAATTTATCGACGGTTCGTGCCATTTTTCGCCGATAATTTTTCGATAGTCATCGCCAACCAAAGGCGACCATCGAGAGATCGAGCGGTCAATGGAGACATGCGGTCTTATTCCGCTGAATGCCAGAACATGAACATGATCGTGGCACAGGAAGAAGGCAGAGGCACATCCGTATCGTGGTCAGAACCCGTGACCCCCCGATACGTACACGTGTAAACGTACGCGCCGTTCGTCCACACAGCACACATACGAGCCGCGGCTTTGCCAAGGATTATCCTCCGCTCTTCGTCGTCCTGGGTTTTCGTTGCGAGATCGCGAAGCGAGATGTACATGTGTCGGATTCGTGTCTGAATTTCGGCTCGTGATTTTTAAGTGCGGAAAGTTGCGAATCTGAACGATATATTCGTTTCGCGACACCCATAAATTATTTTCTTCTCCAAGTTTTTTCAATGCCTCTAACAGACCGTGCAAGTGTGTGTTGTGTACTTCAATAAATTTTTATGTATATAAATATCTTTTATAAATTTTCTGAAGAAGTCTTTTGTTAATCCAAAACAATGTATGAAAATTCATGAAAAAAATATTTCTTTATAAATATCTACCTCAAAAATAGGGCAGAAACGTTCGCAATGTTATTAATGTAACTGTTTGGTTTTTCAAAATATATTTTAATAAATCTTTTTGTGCTCTAATTACTGCGCTGGTTCCCCTGCCGTTCTTTTTTACTATTTTTCATTTTACGATACCTTTATCTACTTGTAGTATAAATATCTTTTCTTGGATATAAATTAAAATTTTTTCGCGGTCTCCTTTAATATTTTTTAAATGCGGGGTAAAAATGACGCTTTGTTTACTTATTTTAGGTAGCGGGATAATCGCGCGTTACACGTAAAACGGTCGGGCGCTTTGAGATGCGAAAGAATGTGCCAAATTGATGACGAGGATTTAAGCGGGCTGAAAGCGCGTTTAGAGAGAAAGAGAGAGAGGAGCAAGAAGCGATAGGGTGGCCAATTGGCTGTGTAATGTCAGAAAGGGGTTGCTTCTCGCCCCTCGCACTCGTTGACACCGAATATAGACGCTGCGTTATTTTTATAAGTTCGGCAGACCGAATGCCAAAAAAGATATTGGCAGACTAATCTACGACGTAAACCATCTTATCGCAATTTTATATCAAGATTATATGTTTATATAATTTATATATAAGTACAATTTTTAATCGTGTTAGCGTCTATATTTGTGTTTCTCGCTGTTTTTCCTATATATGAAACATATTTTTATTACGATATTTTTTGGCATATTTATTGACGGTTATAAAATTAATCCACTCGATAATTTCCTATCCAATCGATATGGTCCTATATACATGTAATAAGATATTGAGCTTAATCAGGCTTAAATCTTACTGTTATAATTTGAGGACTTCATCTGCAAAAAGATGCTTGAAAAATTATAAAATATATTAATTTATTCTACTGTCTCTATTTTTTTTTTACAGAAAAGTTGATTTGTTTTTAATTGTATTTCTATATATTTTTAATTAATATCATTGTTTAAAAATATAAATTTTTGTATATATTTATCAGTTTTTTAGATTCTTTGTTATTATATATATTCTGCTTGAAACTTTCGTGATGAACTCCTCAAGTTGCCTTTAAAGAAAGATAATATGATTATACGCATGATCGAGATAACGAATTATTCATGTTCCATCAAAGGATTACCTGTACTTGATCCGTCTTCGTGTTAGCAGCCATCCATGCCTCTACGAAGGTGTCCATTGCGCTCTGAAAATCCATTCCCTTCTGGGGCCTCAGTAATTCTCTTGAACCTCGCAAGTCGCCGCCATTCGTGACATATCGCGTTGTTCTCGAATCGTTCACAAATTCTCTTAGCGTCGTTAAAATTTTCTCTCCCGATATATTTATTAATCGATAGTCAAAAGTGAATCGAAAAAGACGTGCCAGCCAAGCTTCTACGTAAACTGTCTTAATGATCCTTTGAAATAGTTTTAAACGTCACTAACGAACACCGGCGTGCCTATACGATATAATTGTCGAATGATCGCGCGGGATGTGACATAAAATCTTTTTCATTCACGATTAAAATCACAGACATGTAGAGACCGCGTATTAAATGTCCGTTTATTTATATAACAGCTTCTACTGTTAAGAGTTCTTAATTTCTAGCTACTGAATACTAACGATTATGCGTGGGTGATCATTTCTATTACATTGAAACGAGTTACACGCCTACGATCCGCTCTAAGTTCTATTTGGTATATGCATGAAGTTAAGATACGATTAAACTGCGCTGTACTTCTGACTAGAGTGCGGAAAATCACACACGTGCTCGCAACTCATTACGATAAGTATCGCCCGAAGTAAATAGAGCGATCTACAGTTTCGTCCCGTTTTCCGATCACTGATCGTCCGTCTCCTTTCGCCCGTCCGTTCAGAATGTCACGCACACCGTTCTGAACACTGGCATCAGAGTTTCTCTCATCGATCACAAAATCAAGCACCGATTATTTTATTTTTATTTAATTTTACGGAAAAAAAAGTTAAACGCGTTCCGGCAGAATGAAACGTCACCAAACGTCAAAATCTCGAACAGCTGTGCGTGCGCTTTCAAAAGTCGATCTTTTCGGAGTAGTCGTCAAGTTCGAATCACACGATCACGTTCACATCTCTCTTTCTCTCTCTCTCTCTCTCTTTCTCTCTCTCTCTCTCTCTCTTCTCCCTTCTTATCGAGTGTCCCTATTTACCGAAGTTCGGCGAGATGTCATTCGCGCCGCCGAGGACGAGCGCGACACACGTTCGCAGTGAACGGCGTTCGAGCCGCGACTGTGCGCGTCGTGGCGTCGCGGCGCTCGATCTACTGCCCCTACGACGCCCTACCGCGTCGCGAGCGCGCTGTCGGTATCAACCCCACCACTTGCCGTATATCGCGGCCGCCACCACCACCACTCTTTACCACTCCACCACCACCACCACCATCTATACCACTACTACCACCACCCGCCGCGACATCGTCGTCTCGCGTCTACCGATTCTGGTCCTCACTCGGATGCTGCGCTGCCTGGTTCACCCTCTCGTCGGAACCCACCTTCGTGCCTTCTTCCTCCGCGTCTCTCTTTTATCCTCCCCTGATTCCGAAGCTTGCTCGCCCCGGATAAGGCGTCGTCTCTTCCTTCCGCGTTTGTCTCGTTAAATTTTTTTTTTTTTTTTGTTATCACATTTTTATTTTTCAATATCGCGATATGCGACATGTTTTTCTCAATCGTATCTCAATATTCGTTTCCGCTGGAATCTATTATAGCAATTTTTCTCAGCAATGTCTAATTTCTTTATTTTTTAAATATCTTCTTGTGTTTTTATGCAATCTATACACACGCATATTTGGAGCAAAAATCGTCCCTCTTCTTCATCGTCGATTCTCGGTTTCTCGTTCATTTAAGAAATTCCGTTCTCGTATCCATACTTCTTCCTCGAGTCACGGAATATCCGTTCTCTCATCCTACACCATCTCGTCCTCCCGTCCTTCCGAAATCCTTCTTCCTTCGTCGAACTCGATTCCCCACTCTCGTCTGCATCTCAACACCCCCACCACAGAATCGTGTTCCGGGGGTGTGTCTACAGATAAGATGCACGAACACCGTTGCAGCTGTTCACCTGCAACACGCTCACTGCGACAGACCCACGACTGCCGATGACCGAGCTTATATGCAGAAGGAGCATCAAGCGATATCCATGCCATCGCATCGATCTCTTGCGGTCTCGATTGCAGAGCATCCTATTGGAACAAATCTTTGTAGATGCGTAACACGGAAATTTATATCATACGAACACGCGCGTGCGAAAAAATCTTATTATTACTTTGATTGAAACTTAGATTAGTGAACTGCATTTAATAGGAACGTGCAATGATAGTAATCTTTAAATATTAAATCTGTATTTGATGTCTATACCGATGTACATTTTATTTGTGAAATATTTTTAAAGAAAATATCTTTAAAAATGTATTAACTTTAAAATCTTTTTATTTCTGTTGAACGATATCATTTGTTTATATGTGTACAACAATATAAGAAATAATTAAAATTGTAGTAAAATATGCAGTGTAACGTATATAATGAAATAACTGGATACGCGTCAATAATAAAATTAAATATACATTTAATCATGCAATATATAAGAAGTAACAAACGCGTATCCGAATTAGAAATTGATTTGGTAAATTTATTCTTTTACCTTTGTGATAAAAATAATTAATATCCGAAACATTAAAATCTATAAGCAAACATGTATTAACGATTAATATAGAAAAAAAACTGTTCTTGTATTTATTGTATCAGAAACATGGTTTGTGACTCGAATAATATTAAATCAAAATTTTTAATATGTGTTTCGTAGAAAAAAAAAAATACAGAAGAGAAAAATAAAGGTACAATAAAAAAGTATATATAAAAATAATACACACCTATCGTCGCACAATATGTAATTCATAAATTTTCATTTCAAATATCAGAGATTTTTTGTAATATAATTTTTACCTCCCTTTTTAAGCAACAAAAATAATTTTAGATTAAGATAGTAGTAATTAATATAGAAGCAGCTTTCCCTCGATATGCTCAAATGTACGTACGCGGTTCCCTTCGCGCTATTAAAATGGATCGTTTGAATCTCGGAGAATTTCAAAGGGAATATACAATAATATACATAGCATATGCGTACACATACGTATTCGTAGATTCCTGTAAATGTCACAGTCGGATTAGACGATTTCTGGGAATTAATTTCCATAGACGACGAATAAGTAATATCGTTACCGATCCTTGCTAGTATCCACGAATTTCCGGTGCTTCGCGAGCGACGTCCTTCTTCCCTCGATTACATCCTTCTACATTTATGTATGCGTGCGCACACACACGCACATATTTTCATGATGCACATATACGATTTCACTTTATCAGATGTCATGTCAAACAAAAATACCGATTGTGCTTAAATAAAAGCGTTCTGCCATTATCTGATAATCCGCTGGAAACTGCATAAGACTTAATCGAATCGAATATTTGGATGTTTTATCAAAGGAAATGACGAAATGAAGTACTTGTGATGCAATTGGGAATATATCTACAAAACTTGTGTGGCAGATAAATAAAATCGTAGGAAAATCCATCTACTTTTTATCGACAATTACCTAATCTGTCATCTCTCGCTCAATGAAAATCTGTTTGGTTCGATGTATTGTATCTTTTGTTTTTCCTCTTTTCCTTCCCGAGTGATTATTCAAGATGAGATGATAGGAAAGCACCAATGACGAATTGTATACTATCGCTTATGTGGTTTCCGGAGAGACAATGCATCATAATAATTACGACACTTAAAATATTCTCTTAACAAAGCTTTTCTCCTTAGGATTTTATTCGTGGCAAAGAATTTTTGCAAGTGTTAATCTTCATCACTTTAGTTGAATTACCTCACCTGATTCAGCCAAAAAAATACGATTATCTTAGTATACATGACATATAATAATTAGTTCCGATAACGTCCAATTGGTAGACTGGATAATCCTGAGATTAGACTGAGTGTTCAAAAGATAATGCCTTATCCAGCTGACGCATGTTAGTCGACATTGCTTTTACGTAATAGAACTGCTGCGTTAATATTTTGTCGTAGAAAATATTCAATTGATTCGATCCAAGCGTATAAAAAATATGATAAATAGATTTTGATAGCGCAAATTAGGTAGAATATTATATGATAGCAAGAAATAACAATTTAACTCTAAAACATTTTTATTTCTTTTTTCAGTCAAATTGATCAAATATCGCACTCGGGTAGAATGTTTTTTTATGTTATCGATAACAAAATTTAGAATTCCTTTATTAGGATATCCATATATAGACTTACTATGACACACTCCTGTCTTCCTTGCTTCTACGTGTATCGTCAGAAGCCGCGTACGTAAATCTTCAGACAAATTTGTTTCGACAGTACAAGAGTTTCTAGCGGGAGATTTCGTTCGCCGATACAGCATTTTACACTCGCCAAATCCGATCGCATTATTTCGCGGGGCTAGACGGTAACCAGAGGCGTCATAAAACGCATCTGCATCTTATCCTCTATCAAGTTTTAATCCATTTCTGATCCATTCTGCTGTAATCTGAATTCTATTAAACGTTAAAAGAAATTCAGAAAGTTGTTAGTATTTTACCTAAGAAAAATTCATTTAAAACTATACTAATATAATATGATTAAAATTTCTTCTTCATTATTATACTCTATTACATATATTAGGTATATAATATAAGAGTGTAAAAATATAAGCAAATAAAGACAGCAAATCCAAAATCGGCGCATAAGATATTTGTAAGATATCTTTAAGATGTCTTTTGGATATATCATATCACATAAGATTTCTTAAAGCTGTCTTAAAGATTTTTTGTATTACACGTGCAGGCAAAGTGGCACTTTGTGTGCGTGTTTTCTGTGCGGAAAGTGGCCGATTTCCCACGCCGCCATCTAGCGGCGACGCGGTGAGTGAATAAGCCGCATTCAAAGCCATTGTCTACGGCTGAGCCGCGTTCAAAGTCATTGCCCACGGCTTCAGCCGGCTTGGCTGAACCGTGACCAATTGTCAACTTTCCGCACTTGATACACAATATACTATTAATGCTATCTTACGCACCAATTTTGGACTTGGTGCTGTCTGGAAAGTCTCATTTATTAGCACTTACGAGCAGAGCTACTTAAGTTTCGGAATGAACGAATACTCCGAACATGATTCCTAACTATCTAGATTATATCGAACGCTCCGTTAGTTACTCGTTCCCGTCGAATGTTACTCTGATCATCGTATTCCGTCGTTTAATCCCGCGCGGCTGATTACGACACCGAAGCCAATAAAGCATCGCGCAATCAAGAGCTTCGTCGCGTCGACCGTTTCGGCATCAGCTATAACTCTCACGTATACGATAACACATGCGCAGCCTTCTCTCCCTCGGGAGAAAGACGCGGGGCAAGGAAACACGACAGCGTGGGGTAACGATTGCATCCGCGGATGCCTGTGATGCAATCTGTGTGCAAAGCGGTCTGAAGTTGCGACTCCTACAACGGAGGTGGGCACCGAACGCGGGTGGAAAGGGTAGGGAAATAGGGAGAACAGGGGGTTGGAAAAGGAAGGATCGGGGAAGAGATTCGTCCTAGGTCGGGTCTCGGAAGGGGGATGAAGAGACGCGCGGGCGGATGGTTACCGCGTTATCGGATGCGGTGGCCCTTGGCAAGGGTGGTTTTGCCGGGGTCGGTACGGAATGCCGGATGGTGAAAGCTCTGGTACCCTGGGCGTGCACCGTGGAGCTTGCGGGCGGAGCTTGCGCGATTCTGCCCATCCTGGAACGAGAGTAGCTTTCGCGTCGAACCACGAAGCCGGCGCCAGGACGGCGTATCTGCCACCCCTTTGCCTCCCCCATTTTGGATGCCTTCTCTCGGGGTGAGCTTTCTCTCTCTCTCTCCTTCCGCAGCTTTTTCAAAGTAAGAGGGTGAGCCTCGCCACCTTACGACGGTCACACGGATATCTCACACTTTCGTGAAACGTGTACGTGTTTATCCACGGTGTATGGGAAATGGTTGAGAGAGGAGAAAGAGAAAGGGAGCGAAATGGGAGAGGGAAATGGTCGAGGAGGCTGTGGCTGACTCGCTCTATACGCGAAAAGCTCGATTTTCTCCGAGAGGGGCGATAAAGGCGAGAACGTCCTGGGGAGGAGAGGACTAAGAAGAGCGCAGGAGAGGGACAACTAAGGCGAGAGTAACGTATGCCCGGAGCTAATTTGCCAGAGCTTACCCGAGAAATTACGAGCACCCCGCGCGATGCATCCGAA